AGTTGCGCAGCATAAAAGGGACCACGCCTAGGCCTATTCTCATATCACCGTTCTGCGGCCAGTAGTTTCGGAAACAAGCTCGGAGCGGCGGAAATAAGATAGACGCCAGCGCGGTAGAAGAGGTAGTCTCTCTCGTCAATTCTGAGGGCTAGTCTCACCGATCGACACCTCCAATCTTAGGGGTGCTCTGGGTCCCCCTAATTTTGCTGCCTGGTCAAACTAGAATACCGTCATTGCACGGACTTGTCCTTGTGCCTAAGTCCCAAGACTGCCACTTTCAGGCGGCCCATTACTTGTGGCCGCCTGACACCGGGGCCTGAGGCAGGGTCTCGCGAACCCAAGGAGCCGCAGACTGAGGGGGTTATCACTGTTGGGGATGATACCCCTCCTCCCACCCCGATTCCAGAACAGGCACGGCAGTATTGGCCTAAAGGAATTCCTGAGCTGGACAGCGAGGAGGTATTGGGGCCCCCACCGGAAGCTACTACGCCACCCCCGACGCAGGCGGAGCCAGAGGGGGGCGAGAGGGCGAGGGCACCTACCACTGTGGCATCGCAACCGACTGAGCCTACAGGTGCACGCATGGAAGTGGAGGTGCCAACCTCCGGTGAGCCTCCGCCAGGGCCGCCACCCGCAGAAGAGGGGACTAGTGAGAGAGATCCACTGCGAGAGGGCCACGAGGCGAGGACAGGGAAGCCACCGGGGGAGACGAAAGAAGAGAAGTGTGCGAGGGTGCAGGTACGCCTCGAGGAACTATACCAGGAAAAGCTTAGGATGGAGGTCGCAGGAGAATCACCAAAGCCGCCAATTGACCCTCCGACGACCGAGCGGAGGATTAATGAGGCCTGGGCCGGCTATGAGAGCGAGAGGGATGCTGCTCGCCTGAGGTCGCGAGAGGCGGGACAGKGGAGTGCAAGATTGGGCGAGGCACGAGAAACAGAGGACTTGGGATTTTCAGCCGCCAGGATGGAGATTGAGCGTGCAGATAGGAGGATAGGTGAGGTGGCAGTCTCGTCCTACTCTATGCCCAGCGATGAGTTGGCGGCCTCGAGGTTAGAGGTGGGACAGTTGTCCACCCAACTGGTAGAAGAGAGGGCAAAAAAACAGGGGTGGAGGACCCGCATGAGAGCCAAGGAGGCGGAGTGGGAGAAGAGGCTCCAGGGCATGGCGACGATGGTAGAAAGGCTCTCGGCCACTAAGGTGATCGACTGGATGGAGCAGAGCCGGTATGGTATTCAGGGGAAGGAGGTACAGGGGCTCTTTGGCCAAGAAGTAACGACGGAGACGCCACAGCCAGAGGGAATGGGGAAGGTATTCCTGGACCCAGCAGAGGCGGCAGCGAGGCGGGAGGCCGAGGAGAGAAGGTTTCAGCTTCAGGACTCCCATGGAATTGGCCTCGCGACAAGCCACCCCTATGACGATTGAGATCCCTGAGGGCGAGCCGGCGCAGGGATCCCAACCTCCGGTGGAGGAAGGGGGCCCCACAGAGGAGTCCCCTACGATCCTTTGGAGGTGCAGGAGGGTGCTCTTACGGGAGTAGCAGCATCCACTGAGCCGGAGGCAATGGGGGGAGAGGCGTCTCGACCGGATGAGTTGGTGGTAGCTATGGAGTTAGACATGCCGTCAGGAGAACCTCAGAGACAGAAGACCCCGGAGCGCGTGCCAGAGATAGGGGAGCTGAGGACGCAGTTAGGCTCTTGGGCTACTGGAGCTGACTCGGGAGAGCACATTTCAGAGCAGCAGCAGGAAGTTATCAGTGAGCCAGCGACTGTCGTGACTCCCCAGCCTTCCGACCTGCATAGGGACGAGGGGGTGACTGCGATGGGAGGAGTCCGCGAGGGTAGGCCAGTGAGATTGGACACTCCAGCGTACGGACCCGGGGGAGATGAGACGCTAGCAGGGCCGAGTACCCAGATGATGGAGGCAGGGCCGGCAGAGTCATGGAGTATGCCCCAGAGCCACGAGATGAGCAGGGAAACTAGCGAGACACCGCCGCTGTCTGAATCCCAGAAGAAGAAGAGAAGGTGTCGGGGGAGATCAAACGATCAGTGCTTCTTCTGTAAGGATGGCGTACATAGAGCTCTTGAATGCCCGAAGTTCCTTAAGGACAAGGCGGCTGGGAGAGTGACAGAGAGTGGTGGGAGGATGTACCTTTTTTTCTTTTTCTTTTCTTCAGCAATTTGTGTGAGGAAAAACACGTCCTCATAGGGCAAAACAACAACATACATATGTTCTGGACTGTGGCCCCCAGCAAGCCTCCAGGGGGACCAGAATGTATCTGACCGTACTTATGTTCAGAGCTATTAAAAAAAGTCCTTGTTTGAGTATTCCCTGCGATGATACTCTCGATCATGCTGGCAGACACCACTTCAAAGATATGTGCAGAGAGCACCGTACACAGAACCCTCTCTCTCTGTCGCACTGGGGCTGTCCTAGGACAAGGTTGCACTAGCAAGCAAGATTGGATAGAAGGTCTGAATCTGGACGAGTTTGCGGAGAGGTGCACAAAAACTTACGATAGATCTTTTGTTCTACATCTTTGTGTTAAACACATCCAGATTCACGCAGTTAATCCAGTCCTCTTTGCAAGTGGAACCTCATCCCTGTAATCCAATTGTCTTCGCAAGTTGCTTCTGACCTGCTTGATTCTATTCACGAGTTAGGAAGAGGAGCCCCCACCCAACAGGTACAGACAGATAAAGTTCTGGACACTACCAACAGATACAGAGTTCAAGAAAGAAGAAAGAAATACTCCAAGTTAAAAAAACTTCAAGAAATATTGAGAAATAGAGGAATAAAA